TTACCAGCCAATCCCTCCTTGGCAAACACAACCCCCTCCCACTCTCAGTACAGATCAAAGTCGTCCCCCCAACTCCCTGCCCAGCCTGTGCCCCACAGCCCCCTCCCATCCTTCACAACCAGGTGGCAAAATAAACGTTGCTGGGAACAAGGCCCCTTCTCATGTTCACGGGGCCCTGTGGCGTGGGCAGCTCGGGGACGGAGGAACAGGATGCGGAAGGGAGAGGGAACCTCCAAGGGTCTCCACCGGGCTCGGACACCTGGGTTCGATCCAGTGCTTGGAGGGGAGCGTGGCCTGGGGGTTTAGAGCAGAGGGGCTGGGAACCTGGGTGCCTGGGTTTTCTCCCTGCTCCAGGAGTTGGATATGGGATCGGTCCGAGACCCCTTATTTAGCTTATGGCAGGGATGAGGTGGGTGGCTCCCAGCAGCTGCCGTTGGCCTCAGAAGGTTTATTTTTCCAGCAGCTGGGCCAGGTGCTGGCTCTGGGCACTGGCAGGCCCTCCCATGGGCCTGGCCTGCAATCACCACAGGACAGCCAAGGCAGCTGGGAGTGGGGCCCAGACACACTGTGCCCTCAGCTGTCACACCCCAGCAGGCTGACAGACAGCACAGAACAGAGGCAGCAGGGACCAGGGGAGAAGCGCAGGGACCCAATAGAGAGCAAGGAGCCCAAGAGGCAACCTGACCACTTGGCCCTCACCTAATCAATCTCTCACCAAGCCCAGCCACAGCCTCATGGGCAGCTCTCCTGGGCTGTGGCACACCACCAGACATGGAGAAAGGATCCAGGCTCCCAGCCCCACTATCCCAGAGCTTGGGGAAGACCCATTCCCACCCCCAGCTTTACAAGGCTGGTGCACTCTGCCTGCCGGGGAGGGTCGAGGGTTACACAAATGTGGGAGCTGTAAACTGTCAGCTGTTTGTCTTGGCAGGGCCTAGCTGCCCTCTGGATCCACTGTGCTGCACATCACCCTCAGGCCATCCCCTGCTGCTCTGTGTGTGTGCGTGTGTGCGCACGCGCATGTGTATGTGTGTGTTCCGAGTGTGTGGTTTAAGCCGGTGTGTGTGTGTGAATGCACCAGGCATGTGTGCATGTTCCGGTCTCTGTGGTCTGTTTCATCTCAGTGGGATATTTACCGAAAATTGCGCACAGCATTTTGCCTGGCTGGCAGCCCCGACACCGCTCAGGATGAGCTGGGCGAAGAAAGAAAGCTCTCTGGAGACCCTGGGCAGAGAGAGAGTGTCATGAGGGTGCCACTGAGGGAGCAGGGGTGGGTAGGGAGTTCTTTCCTCTCCTTTCCTGCACAACCTTACTCCACATAGATTCATAGAAGTAGGGTCAGAAGGGACCTTGTAGATCATCAAGTCTGACCCCCTGCCCCGGGCAGGAGAGAAAACAGGGCTCAAATGACCCCAGCCAGGTAGACATCAAGCCTCCTCTTAAAGACGCCCAGGGTAGGAACCATCACCACTTCCCTTGGAAGTTGGTTCCAGATCCTGGCCGGCCGCCCTGACTGAAGTAGTGCCTTCAGATGTCTAGTCTAAACCTACTCTCTAACAATTTGTGGCTGTTATTCCTTGTTACCCCGGGGGGCACTGGGGGAACAGGGTCTCTCCCAAACCCGGCTGGTCCCCCCTAGTGAGTTTACAGATGGCCACCAGGTCCTCCCTCAGCCTTCTCTTGCAAAGGCTGAACAGGTTCAGGTCTCATAGCCTCTCTTTGTAGGGTCTGCCCTGCTGTACCCGGATCATGTGGGTGGCCCTCCTCTGGACCCTCTTAATGCTGTTGACATCCTTCCTGAAGTGCAGCGCCCAGAACTGAACGCAGTACTCCAGCTGCAGCTTGACCAGTGTCACATAAAGGGAAAGGATCACCTCCTTGGACCTGCTGGGGATGCATCTGTGGATGCATGACAAGGTACGGTTAGCCCTACTGACCGTGACCGCTCGTTGTCGGCCCATGTTCATCTTGGAGTCAATAATGACTCCAAGATCTCTTTCTGCCACCATGCTCTTGAGAAGGGAGTTTCCCAGCTTATAAGTGTGCTGCTGGTTCCTACTGCCCAAGTGCAGCACCCTGCACTTGTCAGTATTGACACTCATCCTATTTTCATTAGCCCACCCCTGTAACCTGTCCAGGTCCTGCTGTAATCTGTTCTTCCCTACTAGTGTGCCCACCTCACCCCAAATCTTGGTATCATCAGCAAATTTAAACAGGCTGCTTTTTACCCCGTTGTCCAAGTCACTAATAAAGAAATTGAACAGTGCGGGCCCAAGGACCGAGCCCTGGGGGACTCCACTGCCCACTTCCCTCCAGGACAAAAAAGACCTGTCCACCACTACCCTCTGAGTACGACCCTTCAGCCAATTTGCAATCTATCTGACTGTGTAGGCATCAATGCCACAGTCACCTAGTTTTTTTATGAGAATGGGGTGGGAGATAGTGTCAAAAGCCTTGCAGAAGTCCAGAAAGACTACATCCACAGTGACACCTGCATCCAATGCTTTTGTGACCTGATCATAGAAGGCAATCAGGTTGGTCTGACAGGACCTTCCCCTAATGAAACCATGCTGGTTGCCCTTGAGCATCATCCCTGCTGCTGGCCCATCACAGATGTGCTCCTTGATGATCTTCTCAAAGAGTTTCCCTAGGATTGAAGTAAGACTAATGGGCCTATAGTTGCCCAGGTCCTCCCTCTTCCCTTTTTTGAAGATGGGGACCACGTTGGCTTTCTTCCAGTCATCTGGCACCTGGCCAGAGCACCATGAGTGCTCATAATGCCGTGCCAGGGGCCCCGCAATAACGCCTGCCAATTCCCTCAACACCCTGGGGTGGAGAGCATCTGGACCTGCTGATTTGAACATGTCCAGCCCCTCCAGAAGCTCTCTAACCCGGTCCTCCCTGACCTTAGGCCTGGCGGCGTTTTTCCTGAGTCCGTCTGGAATCTTAGTCGGGGAGTCACGGTCCCTGCACAAGAAAATGGAGGCGAAGAATTTGTTAAAGAGGTCTGCTTTCTCCTCTGGTGCAACCACCAGATTGCCAAGCAGGCAATCCACCCAGCATCCAGCTGGTTCCTTGGGCTCCCAGGATGTGCCAACTCCCTGGACCAGCTGCATGTCTAGCCCTACACTCCTGGGGCAAGCAGAGCCCCTGGCACAAGCCTAGGAGGAACCCTAGCATCTGAGTGCAGACCCTCATGCCCCTCCACTCTTGGAGTCCTGCTGGCTTCAGGAGGGTGCTATGGGGGTGCCATGCTTCATGGCCTGCTTTGTTTCTTCCTAGTCCTGTAAGTCTTGAATTTCACCCCCGAAACATCCCTTCCTGAAACCCATTGGCGAAATGTAGGGGGTGCACGCGTGAGATCAGCCATGCACCCCCTGGAAGTGCTAGCCGCGAAACCAGAAGGGCACTTCCGGCTTTGCCGCTGGCTCAGCGATCGGCCCCTGGGCCCCCCCCCCAGTTGGTGGTTGGCCACCACTGGGGGACCAACCCCCCCCCCACCAGTTGGTGATCTCAGGAGTCAGGACTCAGACTCAGGAGGCACCAGTCGCCCATGCTGAAACCTAGTCCAGGCAAGCCCAGTCTAGTGCCAGTAAGTCACCAGAATGGGGGGGCTGTTATGTCAGATGATGCCAAGGCTCAGAATCACCAGGATCAGGGCCTTGTCACAACAGGTGCTGCCTGGACCCAATGTCAGCAGGCATGGGCCCTGCCATGCTGGGTGCTACCATTTGCAATCAGGAGCAGACCCCTTCTGGCACTGGGCAATCCCCACCCTCGCTCTGTCTTTTGAGTGTGGGGCCAAGGGACCACCCCCCCCCAACCGTATGGCATTCATAGCCAGTCTCTGTGGGGTGGCAGCTTGCACTGCATCCTGGGGACACTCACATACAGGAGCCCCCAGTGCCATGGGGCTGTGCCCTCAGCAGTGCTACAGAGATGCAGGTGTGGCTTGGCACGTGGGGGAACAGCCCTCTTTGTCCTCGTGATGGGATCCCTGAGATTGAGGAGATATCCCCAAAGAGGTTATTTTTTTAGCAGGGCAGGTTCTTGGCAGGCCTTGCAGGCATCAGCAGGCGGACCTCCTTGCCAAGGGGTCCACTACAGTGTGGCAGGGGAGCTAGCCCAGATGGTGTTGGAGAAAGTCACTTGCAGAACCTGGCTGGGGCCCAAGATAGGAGGGGAGGTTGCAAAGGGGCCATGGACCCACACAACAGGCCCTGGGCTTGGGAAACATCAGGGAGCATTTATAACTGGGCTCCTCAGCAGCTACCATGGGTCAGAGGCAGTCCCCTCACCCTCACACTCTGTCTCTGCCCTGCAGCCCCATTTCTTTCATTCATTCTTGCTTTCAATCTGTTTGCCTGTCTCCTTATGTCCATATTCTTTCTTTTCTCCATCCCACTCCTTCCGTGTCTTTACATCTCTGCCTCTATTTATTTGTCTCTCAGCTGGCGTGAGTCCTCCAACCAGCAGGGTCACGCCAGCACATGGCTTGGCTTGACTTTCTTTATTTTCTTTTTTCTTCCCCTCCTCCCCCAACCCCCTACATCTGTCTGTCCATCCATCTATTTTCCCCCCTCTCCTGTGCCCAGTCCCCACCCCAGAACGGGGTAAACAGGTGGCCTCCAACACAGGCAGGCTCAGCTGGAGCCAGAGCACCCCCAATGCGGGCCAGCCCCACATACCGACACTGGCAGGGTGCTGGGCTGTGGACAGAGGAGGATTCAGAGTCCAGACATACACGCAGACACCAGCCCTCGCTGGGGCTGCACACACACACGCCAGCCAGCGCGTCGCCAGACACCAACCCGCCAGGCAGCAGGGAGGGGGCCGAGGCCCAGGCCCCCGGCACCACCTGGGGTTTGTAGAGCCGGACGGGGAGCGCGGGACGGGGCCGCAGATGCGGGGGTAAGAGAGAGAAAGGGTAGGGGTGGATGGGCACGGATGGACAAACGGACGAACAGAGTGAACACAGACAGACCAACCAACCGACAGACAGACAGAGGTTGTGTCTGGGGTAAGAAAGACCTACAGAGACAAAGGGGATACATGGGGAGATGGTAGACCAACACAAACAGGCAGGGACAGGGAGTGTGGGGACAGATAGACCAACACAGACAAAGAGGGTGTATGGAAATAGCAAGCGTGTGCAGACACAGAGCGGGTATATGGGGAAAGATCAATAGAAAGGCAGACAGACAGGGCGTGTGTGCAGGCAGACAGACAGACGGCAGGGGTCTCTGAGGGCAGGTTACCTGGCGTTGGTGGAATTTCTTTTTGTCTCCCTCTGCCAGACCCCCAGCCCAGGGCAACGTCCTGTCACTGCCACAGCCTCCCCAACCCACTCTGCCACTCCCAACGCCTCCTCCCCTGCCATGGGGACCCCCTCCAACCTGTCAGCCCCTTCCAATGGGTCACTGGAGGTGGGTGAGGCCCCAGGGGACTCAGGAGTGGGAGCGGCCACACTGGGGGCAGCACTAAGCCTTCTGTGTGCTGTGGGGGTGGCAGGGAATGTGTACACATTGGCCGTGGCACGAGCAGCAGGATCTTCACTGCACACCCATATCGTCAACCTGGCACTGGCTGACCTGCTGTACCTGGGCACTGCACCCTTCATTGTGCACACTGGCCTGGCGCAGGACTGGCGGTTTGGGGAAGCTGGCTGCCGCCTACTGCTGGGCCTGGATCTACTCACTATGCACGCCAGCAGCTTCCTACTTGCCCTCCTCAGCACTGAGCGCTACCAGGCTGTGGCCCAGCCTTTCCGTGCAGCCCACCGCTCCCACCGGTGCCGCTACGCCTTGGCTGCTGCCTCTTGGGCTGCTGCCACAGTGCTGGCACTGCCCATGATGCTCATGGTGCACCTGGAGGAGAGGACAGGCACAAATGGGCGGACACGGTACCTGTGCACACCAGCCTGGCAAGAGGAGCACTACCGTGCCTACCTGACCGTGCTCTTTGGCACCAGCATGGTAGGCCCTGGTCTGGTCATTGGCTGCCTCTACGGGCGCCTGGCACGCACATACTGGCTCTCGCAGACTCGTGGTATGCTGGCTGGAGCAGGTGCCCGCCGAGCCCCCGAGCCCCGTGTTTTCCTGTTCATCCTGGCCATTGTACTGGCCTTCTGGGCCTGCTTCCTGCCCTTCTGGATTTGGCAGCTGGTGCCACTGTACAGCCCTGGCACAGCCACCCGACTGCTGCCCACCACTGAGATCAGCATCAACCACTTGGTCACCTGCCTCACCTACAGCAACAGCTGCATCAACCCCTTCCTCTACACCCTGCTCACTCGCAGCTACCGCCAGCGCCGCCGGGCACATGGCCTGAGGGGGCTACCACCACGCCAGCCGGCCACCAGGGTCTGAGGGAGGAGCACACCCACTCACCAGCAGCAGGTATATATGGGCACAGCAGGGCAGAGGCGCTGCTGTGGGGAAACTCACAGCCAAGGGAGAACAGGGCACTGCTGCAGGGGAGATCACAGCACAGGGGAAGTGGGGCATCCCCATTGTGGGAATGGTAGCACTTGGGGAGTGGGGCACTGCTATGGGGAAGCTCACTGCCCTGGAGTTCCACCTAGAATCAGCTTCAGTCTAGTCCTGGCATGGAGCACTGGCTGACTTTAGGGATGGTAGTGGGGCAGGGGCCATTCCCCTTCAGGGTAGCAAGACCAAATCGGGCCCCAGAGGGATATTGGCTGACTCAGGAAGGTGGGGATGGCAGGGGCCTTGTCTGTCTTGTGGGGGTGCCAGATTCCACCTGGCCCCTTCATACCCTGAGTCCTGCTGGTTCCCTGGTTTATGTACACCCTATGCTCCTTTACAGCTGCCCTCCACTTCAAGGGCAGGCTATGGGGGGCCAAAGGGGAGGGATTGGCATACTCACTTCCAGTGCTCCAGAAGCCCTTGTCCTGCTTCTCCCCCACACCCGTCCCAGGGCCTCTCCCTTCCTTAGCCAGCCCTCTCTTCCCCCAGGAGCAGCACCATGGCCATGGATCCTTGCTACCCTTCCCAGCCAGAGCTGGCCCAACCCAGCAAGTCACTCTCTCCACCCACAGGATGACGAGCCCTGAGCTAGAACTGGAAACACCACAAGCCCCACTAACAAGAAGCACAGCATCAGGCTGCCTGGTTTCTAGCCCTGTCTGGGAGGGCAGTGGTGTTTGATGGTTAGAGCAGCAGAGCCAGGACTCCACCCACGCCGAGCGTGTGCTTCCTGGCTGCAGCAAGCTGCTCATCACCTTGTGTCCAAGTGGTGTCCAGGGCAACACTTGCCTGGCGCCAATAAAGAGTGTGACTGCAATTGTCTCCAGGGTGTCCCTGCCGTGTCCACATCCACCCCAGCCTGGGCACCAAAGTAGCTGCAGGGCACCTTAGGCAGGCATTGCCCAGGCTGTGAGGGTTTAGGGATCAGGATGGGAACTCTAGCTCCAGCGCTGGCTGGCTTGGTGGGTGGGAATGAGGCAGGGCCTTTCCCCTCTGGTCTTGCCCCTGGAAGTCAGGTCAGCTCTGGGAGTGGGGTCTGGTGGGTAGAGCACAGGGTTTGTCACCAGGATGTCTAGGTTCACTGCCTCTCTCTCTGGAAAAGTACACAGCATTATTGTACAGTTCATCACCTCAGGGTTACCCCTCAGATCTTAGTCTGTACACACCCTGCCTGGGCCCCCCGAGGTCCTGGCTGGGCTCCAAAGATGGGCACTGGAGTTTTTCTGGCCAGGACAACACTGGGTCACTGCAGAGGTCCTGAGCCTCCCCTTGCGGGAGGGCAGCCTGGGCCTGGTTCGCCTGCATCACCAGGTCCTGACGTTCTGCCTTCTGCAGCGGCTATACGGCGTCAGTAGCCATGCAGCAAGGGGCCATCTGGGGAGTGCCTTCCTCCACCACTTCCAGGGGCTCCAATACGACTGGCAGCTCCTTGGCCTGTGGGGCTTCTCCCTGCAGGACCTGTAAGGGCTGCCAGATTTCTACCAGGACATCTTCCGGGCCTGGAGGCTGGTCTTCGCCTCCAGGTCCCCTGCGACATGTGCCCAGGGCACCAACCTGCACATCAAGCTACTCCTCTGGAACCCCCAGCTGGAGGTCCCAACAGCAGAGGCACCCCGGTTGCAACAAAGGTTGATCCTGGGTGGTGGCACCCATATTGGAGACCTCCTGGCCTGTGATAGGCAGACATGGGTGAATCCCGCTGCACTGGCCCGGTGGATGGGTCTACCCACAAGACTTGCCACCTAGTCCAGGAGGTGAAATCCACCTTATCTCCCGATGCCCTTGTCTTTATTGACCAGGTCCTGCACATTGGTGGTCCATCCCCCTCTACCCCATGTCCTCCAGCCCACCGGAGTTTGTCATAGGGCCTCACGGCACTCCACACTCCACCACCTGAGCCGGCTGGAGGACACCAAACTGGTCCACTTTTCCACCATCCATCGCCACCACCTCTACATGCTCATGCGCCGCAAGATCCGTCATGCCACCCTCACATCCCACTCAGACACTGAGTGGTGGGACCTGCTCATCAAGGGCAGGGGTACCCCAGTGACTGAGCCTATACTCCACCTTCATCCCACGAGCACTGGAAACTTCAGCTGGTTGCTCCTCCATAGAGCCACTGCCACAGGCGTGTATGTGACAAGCTTTACAAACACCCCGGTCTCCTGCCCCTTCTGCAGGCAGGGGGAGACCCTGGCACACTACACTCGAGTGTGCCAGATTGCAACCTCCTCCTGAGATTCTGGATGAACTTCACCCCCTACCTTTTTATTTTTGGGCACCCCATCCGCAGCCCCACCAAGTCCTGCGACCTCCTGATCAACCTTCTCCTGGCTTTGGCCAAGTGAGCCCTGTATTTGACCAGGAATGAGGCTTTGGCCAGGAAGGTGCCTGGGGACTGGAGGGACGCATTCCTCTCCCTCGTCTGTGCATGTTTCTGGGTGGAGCACCACTAGGCAGCATCCACCGGCTCCTTGGATGCCTTTGAGGACTGGTGGGCGCAGACTGGGGGGCTCTGCTTGGTGTCTCCCTCAGGAGCACTTATTCTCATGTTTTGACCCACATGACACTCCCACCATTTTTTGCTTTTCCTGTCCCAAGAAATGTAGTTTCCCATTCATCCATTAGCCCCTGTGAAAAGGAGCTACTAGTTATCTGGGTGGGCGTTAGCCCACGGTAAGTGAATGGACAAGTAGACAGGTCTCAGTCTGGGTCAGCCTCTGCAGCTCAATGTCAATGCCCAGCTCCTGGAGAAATCTGTTCTCTGCAGTGATCCAACCCTCAACCTGGCACTGGAAGAAAAGACCTGCAGGTGTACCCTAGTACTGGTGAGAGCAGCAGCAATTTACCTGTACCATCTCCTACCTAGTGGGGCTCAGGGCATTGGGGCACGTAGGCTCCAAGGAAGGGGTGAGATACCTGGGTGGCTGGGCCCATGGGGCTGATCTAAGGCAGGATACCAGAGTAAATGGGCCTGAGTACAGCTACTGGGAGGTGGCTCCAGTGCCTTGTACTGCAGGAGGCAGGTTTGAACTCAGTCCCAACTTCCCTCTCCCCCACCCTAAAGCAGAGATTTCAGCCACAGTACATGGTAAATCTGAGATGAGCTTTACTAGAAGACACAAACCTCGGTGCTTTTTAAAAACAGAGGGAACTGGCTTGCGCCCTGTGCAGCCAGAAGCAGCAAGCCCTGGGCCCCACAGGGAAAAGATACCATGTGTCAGCCCAGGCCCCTGCAAGGCACTGCTCCCATGCCACCAAACCTACCCACAGAAATGCCCTGGTAACACACAACACAGCCAAGGGAGCACGGCAGAGAAGGGCACACAGGAGCCATGCAGCCTGCACCTCAGCCCTGGGCACAGGTCATCCCCAGCCCCGGAACTATGAGCAGGGCAGGTAATAAGGGAACATAGGGTTGGGTTCAGGGGAGGAAGCTAACTGACCACAAGAGTATTTGAGCCTCCTCTCCAAAAGCAGGAAGCTGGCAGGAAAGCATGAGGGACCCTGGGCACGGAGTCTCCAACAGGCTGGCAGAGCAAGCATACACATATTCTCTTCTACCCCATGAAGCCACCACAAGCTGCCTGGGTGCAGGTGGTAAACAGCAAGGCCAAACCTAGGCCATAGCAGGGCCTGCGCCAGCAAGGGGGGGACCCAAGGAGTGATGTGCCACTTCCCTAGATACCTCCTGCCTGGGTGTTGCCAGTGTCCAGAAAGGAGCCATGCTCCTAGCCTCCCCTAGGTGCACAACTTTCCCTCAGTCAGTCCCAGCCCCACACATGGGGAGACAGCTATGCAGGCACAGCACAGCTTGCAGGAAAAACTGGTCCTACCCAGGAGGAGGCATCCACACAGTACTTATCCTGTCCCTGAGAGCCTGCCCCTGAGACTCAAGAGCCTGTGTGAGACCTCTCCCTAGCTGGGACTGCAGCTGCTCTGGGGGGATTGACCTTGCTGGTTACAAACCCCTAATTCCCACTGCAACCCCTCCCTTTATAAAGAATTGCTGGGTTTCATGGCTTGAACCTGGCCAGTTCCACCTTCTGTCCAGGGGCATAGAAGCCAAATGTAAGGGCAGGCCCAATCCAGTGAGCCCCATGTCAAGGACAAGTGCCAGGCCCTGCCATGACAGCCAGTTTACAGTCACTTAATTCTCCCCGCCAGCCCCCAAGCTGTCTCACCATCTCTCTGACCTGGGATGCCACAAGGGCAGCTAGGCACAGGCCCCTTACAGTGCTGGGACCTGGGAGAAAACGGTCTGACATGTGGACACTTCAGCCTCAGAAACTGAAATGAATCCACCCTCCCCCAACACATCACATATAAATGCATGCACAAGCCTTTACCCCAGCATAAATGCAGCCACACACAGGGTCCTACCATGGGAAAGGCTCTGCCCACCCACAACTACTCCCAGAGCGAAGCCTGGGGCAGAGTGAGCCTGACAAAGTGTGGGGCAGTGCTACATCCCCACCAGCTACTGCCATCACCAAGATGCAAAAAAGTAAGATACTGGGATAGATGGGGCCATGGGGCTGAACTGAGGAAGGCCAGTTGTTGGGGGGGATGGGGGCACAGTTCAGGGAAGTGATTCCTATACTGTTTTGAAGCTGAGCCCTGGTGAAATCTAGGCCCCTGGGTTTAAAAATCCCAACTGTGGTGAGTGATAAAAACCAAGCTGCACATGGAAAGAGGAAGGGGGATGCCAGGAGAAGGGGGAAGAGATCACAGGTGCTCTACTCCAGGCTACCCTAAGATGGGGCTTTTGTGCAAAATGAAGCTAGGTCCAACATGTCTAAAGCACAGCTGTTGCTGGAAGAGAGAGAGTGTGAAAGTGAGAGAGGGACTGTGCATGTGGGAGTGCATGAGATGCAGCACTGTCCCCTGCTAGGATGAGTGTGCGCGCACACATATGGTTGGTGCCCCCTGCTGGAGAGATCCAGACCTGCACTGTACACATGCACTTGTGTGCAAGAGGGGATGATATTCAGGGGTTCTGTGGCACCAGTTTCTGTCACACACAGCAAACCCACAACAGGACAGAGAAGGGAGCACCTGGAGGGCAGCTGGAGGCTGCACAAAGGGAGGAGCCTGGTGTGCAGGGGGAATCCGGGGACATGCAGTGGGGGGCTGAGCCAGGTAGCCTGATAGGGCCATCCCTACATTGACAGGGTCCTGTACTGGCGGGGAGTCTCAGTGCTCTGGAGGGGTGTCGGCTGGACCCCACGGTGGGGTGGGAGGGGTTCTACAAGAAGAAATCCAGTTTAACTCCAGGTGCATCTAGGCCGACCAGCTGCTCCCAACCCCCCTGTTATAAAGTGCTGGCTGATATAAAGAATAAAGCCCTGGGCAGAGCCAGGTGTGCAGAGGGGCCAAGCCCTCAGACCCCATAGTATAGGAGTCCAGGTTTGTGCAGTGCTGGGTGAGGGAGCTGCCCCAGCTTTGCCTCTATGCCCCTTCCCCTCCCCACCCCTGGCACCCCTCACTCGCTGGGGGGCTGCTCAGCCAGGGGTGACTGCGGCTGGGTCTGGGGGGGCACAGGGGAAGGGTGGTGGTTGGTAGCTGTGGTCTCTGCATCCTGCTCCTCCGTCTCCTCGTCTGAGACCCCCTCCAGCCGGAAGACCTGGCGCACTGTGCGAGTAGTGAATGTCAGGGGGGTTCGCCTGAGGAGAGACACATGGATTAGCACAGGGGGCACAGTAAGCTTCAGACCCAACCCAGACCACACAGAGCACCCTGCTGGCCTCTCCCCACCCCACAGGCAGCACCCCTGCCCGACCACCCCCAAAAGCTCCCATCCCCAGCACTCCTATCCCATGGTCCCCGCAGTGCCCCTGGCTGGGCCTCCCTTCAGTGGTCACACCGCCCTATGCCCTTGGGTGTGGCAGCATCACACAGCAGGGAGCAGCAAGCAGGCAGGGGGCACCAGGTAGCCTAGCCACCAACCCCCACCCTGAATACCACATACCAGTCTAGCATCACCCCACCCCACACCCTGAACACCACACATCAGCCTGGCAAGGGGAAAGCAGCAGCCAGGAAAGAGCAGGCCCCAGGCAGCAGGCCCCAGGCTCAGAGCCAGTTAGGCGAGGCACAGGGGGAACGGGGCAAACCAGAGCTTCAGGAGCAGTGAGGGAGGGACAGAGGTGAGAGAAGGGAGCTCTGAGGGAAGGGTGCGGCGGGCTCCGAGTGGGAAGAGACCCCTACATGGGCAGGAGGGGGAGCTGCTGCCCCTGGTGAGGACCCAATCCCCCTCCCCCTCCTGGCAGGCTGAGGCAGTGGCATAGGGACAGCGAGCAGGGCACACACGTACTTGTGTTGGAGACGCTCTAACTTGCTGTGGGAATGGAAGAGATGAAGAAATGCAGAGAATGAGAAAGAGAGAGAGAGACCCGCCACAGCCCAGGGAAGAGAGGCAGCATAAACACAGGGGTTTGGAGCCACGACACCCGAGTTCTGTCCTCACTCCAGGAGGAGAGTGGGATCTGTTGGGTTTAAGTGGAGGGGCTGGGAACTGGGACACCTGGATTCTAATTGTGACTCTTCTATCCCATCCCCTGGTCCCTTGTGAAGAGCTATTTCAGCCTGAGAGGCAGCTCCCCTGGAAACTGAATCCCAATGAAAAAGGCAGCGGGCTGAGAGCATCCCCTGGGGACATATAAGGGGCTCAGATGCCCTCCTGCATGTATCCAAACCATACTTTCCACAGACACTGAGCCACCTCTGTACAAAGCACCTGAAGACACCAAGCAGAGTCCCTCCACCCCTCAGGATGGGTCCTGCCTGGCTAAGGTGGGACAAGAGCCTGGCATCAGGTTGGTGGGAAAGGGGAGACCTTGTCCCAAGCTGTGCCATGGGAGAGTCAAATTTAATTAGGTGCCTGAAGTGGGTACCATGTCCGGCTTGAGTTATACCCTGCCTCAGGACTGACTGAGGCATATCCAGCACTGTCTCCCACCCCCACCAGCCAGGACTACCTGAGGCGGTTGCGCAGCGTGGTAACCTCACGGTTCATGGACTCAGCTGACTCAGTGACATCTTCAAGCTCACGCTGCATGCGGCGACGGCTGGCATTAGCCCGAGATGCTTCCTCCTCTGCCTCTTCCAGCTGCCGCTTCAGCTGCTTCATGCGAATGTGTCCCTTGTCCAGCTGCCAGCAAACAGCAGACACAGGGTCACACCACTCCATACCAGGACAGACTCTTATACACATGCATGGCACTTGGAAGTGCCATGCTGCAGGGTCCAGGGTGGGATGCTTGACAGGGGGATGTCATGTGGTTGCCATGCCATGATGCTCAGTGCAGGGGTTCAGGGCGGGGGGGTGGGGTCACTGTGCCACGGTGGGCAGGCAGCTGAGCATGCTGCAGGTACTCTAAAATAGGGGGCTCAGTGGGAGATGCCATGCCACAGGTGGTTGATCACAAGGGGGCTATGCTTGGGGGATCAGGGGCAGTGCCATGCCACAGGCAGGACAGGGTGCCAGGTAGCAATGTGAAGTAAGGAGGCAGCCACACCTGGGCCTTGAACTGATCCGCATTCCTCCGC